CTAGGGTGGAGGATCACTTGAGCCCCAGGGTTAGAGACCAGCCTGAGCAACATAATGAGACCCCATCTCTACAAAAAATACAAAATTTAGCCCCGCATGGTGGTGCTGAGGAATGAACTCTGATCTTTTTCTTTTGCTAAAAACTCCTTCCTAAGGAGGCCAGCTGGGTCAGGCTGACAAAGGGTAAATTCCCACTAAGCGGCTTTTGTTAACCAAATAAAGCCGTGGTTTACTTCCCAACCTGATTCTGGTATGGCATTAACATCACCTAAAAGATAAGAAGCCCCTCTCTTAACTCAAGCATCCTAGTAGGTACCTATCTAAATTTAAAGCATCTTAAAGCATCCTAGCAGGCGCCTATTGTAAATTTAAAATGTCCTCCTGCCTCGGCCTCCCAGAGTGCTAGGATTACAGGCGTGAGCCACCACGCCTGGCCTGTATTTCCCAATTTCTTTTGGTCCCTCCAGCCTATAGAACTCCCAGCAGCACGACAAGTTCCCAAACAAAAACCCAGCAGCCCCATTTGCAGAGACTAGGCAAGATCCAAAGCTAAACTATTCATCCAAACTGTGATCAATTTAAAAAGATATCTTGGATTGTTGTTGTTTTTAACGATTCACCCTTAAGTGCTGGTTCAGTTTGAGCAAAAAGCCAGGGAGAACCTCTGGTCCTCAGATCCCTGGTTCTGCAAGGAGTCATCATTTCTCAGAAACTGGATTTTGACTCTAACCGCTTTGGATTGGAGAAGCAGCCCAGGGAGAGCACAAAATCAATCTTGCCTGAGTGATGAGCTTCTCAAGAGAGCCCAGAGGAACAAGGCCAGGACGCTGCAAAGCATCACTTAGTCACTGCTACTGGCCGAGCATTGGCACAAGAGCTCCTGGGGAAGGGGAGCTTAAAAACTCCCGAATTTCCTATCTCATCAAAGCATCAGATTGGCAGAAAGAGTAAGTCTCTGCTGGTTCTTCTTTTAAAACTGCCAACACTCAGGTGGCGTGGGACGTCTGGGCCATGGCTGAGGTGTGGAGCCCACACTGCCATGCCTGAAGGTCCCAGGAAGATGGCAGTGAATGTACATTCGACGTCAGTCACCAGTGATGACTTAAGTCGACATGATATGCTGGGTTGGATCAATGAGTCTCTGCAGTTGCATTTGACAAAGATCAGATCAAACAGTTTGGTGCCTCACAAGCTGCCCTATTGTCAGTTTATGCGAACATGCTGTTCCCTGGCTCCCCTGCATTGAAAGAAAGTGGAATCTCCAAGCTAAGCCTAGAGACACGAGTGCCATTCAGAACCTCAAATACCTAACAAGCGGTTTAAGAGGATGGTGTCGACAAAATAATTTCCGTGGAATAATATACTAAAAGGAAAATTCAGACAATTTTGAATTTGTTTGTGGCTTCAACAAATTTTGAATGCCAACAACTAAATGACGGAAAGACTATGACCGCGGCGCCGGTGGCTCACGCCTATAATCCTAGCCACTCTGCGATGCGAGGGCGGGCGCCAGATAGCTTCCAAGGGTCAGGCGTTCGAAACCAGCCCTGAGCAACGAGCGACGCCCTGCCCTCGTACTATAAATAAAACAATAATTGCCAACTAATATATAAGAAAAAACTAGCGGGCATGTGGCGCACTGCTGTAGTCCAGCTACTCGGAGGCTGAGGCAGAAGATTGCTTGAGCCAGAGTGTTGAGGTTGCTGTGAGCTAGCTTGAGCCATGGCACTCACTCTACCTGGGCCAACAGAGTGGAGACTCTAAAAATAAAAAAAAAAATAAAAACAAATAAAAATAAATTAAAAAGACTATGACCCTGTGCTGCTCCAGACAAAGTCAGAAACTGCAGTGCTCCCTCCCTTGTTGCTCCAGCTCAGAATAACAGAAGAACTTCTCAGTACTAGCAGTGCAGCTCCACAGAGGCCCGCTTCAACACAGAGAACTACTTCTATGCCTAAGGCCGGCCAGGGGGTGAGTAAAGAATCCCAGTGTGGGCAACGGGGATAAATAAACAGCCAAGTTGATGCAGCAGGTCAACGTATTGAAACTTACTGGCGAAGACTTGGAGAAAGAGAGAGATTTCTACTTCGGAAAGCTAAGGAACGTTGAATTGATTTGCCAGAAGAGG